CACAGAGCTGGTTTGAAGTCGGGAGATGCAGACGGGCTTTCGCGAAACCCCCTGCCAGATGAGTCTGATGGAACAGATGCACGCATGGATCACGTGCTTCTTGAGGTTCCTGTCTCCATTTCTGCGGCGCTTGCTTTGTTGGCAGGATTTTATGCAACAGAAGCAGAGCCCGTATTTAGCCAGTATGGTTCAGAAGTGGGTAGTGGCCAAGACGTGACGGCCCCGAACGTTACACCGACTGTCCACCCTTCCGAGGGCGCCGGTCTTGCAGGGACTCAGGACTTACAACTGGTCGTCACCCGTTTTCTGGCACGGAGAAAGATGGCGACTTACTGATGGCAGCCCCTGAAAGTAACTCCGCTTCTCGTGACATCTGGCATGACCAAGAGACGCTCCACTATCTTAAGGAAGGCAGCTACAGTCCGGGACTAAGCGCTTCTGAGAAGGATCGTGTGCAGCACATGTCAAAGGGTTATTTACTTCTTGAACGAACTGCTCAGGAAACGCGCTTCCTCTGCAGGTCAATGAGTGTCCAGTGGACTGGACAAGGTTGTGCCGCCGCCGGAGCAGCGCGCCAACCTGGTGAAGGCGATCCATGTTGACGTCGGGCACTATGGGGTAAGCAAAACTTACTCGTTGCTGTCACCAACGTATTTCTGGGTCAACATGTTTGCAGACGTGCGGGCTGAGGTAGCCAAGTGCACGGTGTGCGACAGGGTTAAAGCCAGTTTTGAGGTCAAGGACCCAACGCTGAAACCGTTGCCCATTATGGGAATGTTCTACAGGTGGGGAGTGGATCTGTGTAAGATGCCATTCGTTTCCACAGACGGGAATCGATTTGTGGTAATCATGATCGAACACTTTTCGAAGTGGATTGAGCTGGTTCCGGTTTCTAGTAAAGAGTCCAAACATATTGCTGCCGCGCTGCGTGGCGTGCTTACTAGGTATGGGGCTCCAGCCGAAATATTGACTGATCAGGGTGATGAGTTTGCTGGCGAGTTCGGAGAGCTGCTTGTACAACTTTTCATTGACCACAGAATCACTTCGCGCGACTACCCGCAGGCTGACGGTCTGGCGGAACGGATCGTGCAAGTCTGCAAAGAGGGGCTTCGGAATTACTGCCTCCAGTCTGACAGACATCATTGGGACAGATTCTTGTGCTGGATAGCCATGGGCTACCGCATGAGTCGCCAGGCATCCCTGGCAGGGTACTCACCGTACTTCTTGCTCTTTGGCAGATGGCCCATCGTCGGGGCCCGTGTACGGGACGTGTTGCACACCGTGGTGGATCTGGACTCCCCGCAGGTGTGGGCAACCGTCGTTGAGGAGCGCGCCCGACTCTTTAGGGAGGAGATGCCGATAGCCTTCAACAACCTCGCGATAGCGCAACACAGAGACATGCTGCGTTACGCGCACAAGAGGTCAGGGGACCATACGCCGAAACTTCGACGGTTTGCGGCAGGCGACCTGGTGTACTTGAAGCGGCAGAAGGTAGATTCCATGGACCCTAGAGTTGGTAGGCTGATTTTGCGTGTAGTAAGTGTCGGCAGCGGCGGCAGGTTAGTCCTCGAGGGGCGTGACAAGAAACAGATTCGGGAGCATGTAGAGAATTGTGCCCCATGTCACAACCCAAACATTGACCTCTGGCAAAATCCCGTGTTAGCGCTGGAAGACTTGGACCAGAAGTGCCAGGTTTGCAGGGATGCAGTGGCCGATCAGAGGAAGAACCGCATGCTGTTGTGCGATAGGTGCAATGAGGGATGGCACATGAGATGCCTCAGACCGCCGTTAACAGAGAAGCCAAAGGGAGATTGGTTCTGCTCAAGGTGTCTGCCTACACCGGACCCTCTTGCCTAGGACCTGTGACGTTGCTATGATTTTTTAATCCGTGATGCTTGTCCACTCCGCAACGATTGAGTTAAGCGACCTGCTGGCTTCGTCGGAACGCCTTCGCCGGTATGGGGGGGATACCGCATGGATTACTAGCTAGCATGTACAGGTACCTATTTCGATTTTTCACTTGTATGCAAAGTTGTTTGCAGCTAGTATATTCGACCTTCCGAGGCGATATCCGACCGAGTGCATACGGCCCGACAGCTGTCATGACTTACAGTCTCGGCGCTGTAGCATGTCGATTCCGAGCTCATGCAATGGTTCGAGGCTACATGTAGACACGACAGCCATGTGTGGCGGTTTGCCCGATTGCTCCTTAGCTGTGACAACCACAAGGGGGGCGACACATGATTCCGACTACAACAAGAACTGCGGCCTACATTACCCCTAGTCTCCATTAGCATAATTGGAGCTGTGTAGCTGGGACAACAATTCACTTTTTAGCCTCATTTCGGTATCATCGAACGGTGGTCCGATCGTGATATGTAGGCCTCTACATCAACCGTCGATTTGGCTTCAATTTGGAATTACCTAAATCCGGGGTTCACGATATATAGCGAAACCGACCCGAGTTCGATACTCAGTGTTAACCATATAAAACGGTACTTTATTGGTTAATACAATGCTTGCCTCATAGCTAGTCGGATCTAGTATGCGGTTAGTTAAGGGTTATCAACATCCATACAACACACATTGCTTGTACTTACCCGGTTGTATGCTAGCACTCTTAGAACGCCTTTGCTACAAGAGAGCTTTCAACCAAGTCTTAGGTATCTACTTGCAAGTGACCTTGAAGGAGAGAAGGAGAGGAAAGAGCCGCTTCTTTTGGAAGGGCTGCCCATTGAAGTAAAGGTATTGTCTCCGGTGCTTCTCATGTGTTCTCATTGATACATGTGGTTTCTTAGCATGATAGATCATTCTCCGGTGACCTTGTCTTAAACCATTGCGTCCGTGCAAATGCATGTCTTGAGAGACCGCCCCGGTAGCCACGAGCCCGGGAGGCTTCCTCCTACGAATACCGCATGAATTACTAGCTAGCATGTACAGGTACCTATTTCGATTTTTCACTTGTATGCAAAGTTGTTTGCAGCTAGTGTATTCGACCTTCCGAGGCGATATCCGACCGAGTGCATACGGCCCGACAACTTGGCTTTACTAGGCACAATGATTTTTCATGTCAGGTAGTCCTTTGATGGATGATGGTCTCTGATTCAATTCCCCCCTGTGCAGGTGCTCTTTCGACTGTGCGATACTGGATTGGGTTCGTCTAGAGGCACCGGCAGGTTCAGATCAAGCAGGTGAGTCAATCAGAGACGTATAATTCAGTATTCAAGGCTCTGCAGGTTGAAATGCTTGCAGGTCTGCTTTGGATGCTCCTTGGCTGACTTATCTAGCATGCGTCCAATCTGGACTTGAGCTTGAATCTGGACTTGGCTGGTGCGAGAAGGACTAGGCTTCAACCCAGAGAATTGATTCGGTACATATTCAGTGAAACAGCGCAGGGTTTCCTCATATCTTGTGCAGAATAAACCATGTGAACCTGTTAACTTTGACGCCTTGTCTCTATGAACAATCTGTCTTCGCCTAAGCTCCACCAGAATGGAAGTCCGCTGCTTGCCAAAGGGTCCAGGAACGGGGTTTCATGTTGAATATCAAAGCGTGATTTCTGCAGACGGCGACTTCTTGAGGGTTAGACTCCGTCCTCTTGAGCGCTCTCCGGAAGCGATTGTCATCAGAAATGGTATTGATGGTATTGACAATCATTACTTTGGTTCAAGGGATCTTCAGTGCCCTTTTCACGTGCTGGTATGGCTGCCACTCAGTCACGGTTCGTGCTTTGACTTTCAAGACGTGCTCTCCGAGCTTGGCCCAGCGTAATCACAAGAAGGTCGATTTTTGGTTGTGTTTCGGGAATCGTGCGGCGCTGTCCGCATGTTCCGTTTTCAGCATGCTCTCTATCTTGGTTCGCGTTTACCTTTCGTGACCTGGATTGTCTGGCAGAAATCTTCAAGGGAACATCAGCTGTAGCGATCCGGTCACGAAACTTATGCCTGAGGCTTCTGACCAAGCTTTCTGTAACTCTCGTAAGTGATTGCAAAGGTCATAGTGGTTACTGGAATCAACACCAAGCAGCATCCATTGTGCAGAATTGTAATCACGGCTTTGTTTCCTTGCACAGGTATCATGTCCCTAGCCTGACTGCCCCACATGTGGGAGCTTTTTCTCAATAGCAAATGAATCCCCTCTTAACTTCCGACCTCCTACATGCATCGCAGA